AGGGCGATGACCCCGAACGCGGCGGCGTGAGGAGATGCATGAGGGAGGGAGCCGGGGGCAGCGGCGCTGCGCCGCTTCCCCTCTAATTGCCCCTATTCCTCATCCTTAAATGCTAATCTTGAAGTTTGCCCAGGAATTATTTCACTTAGTGTAAATAATACAGATAACTCTGCCGACGCGCTCTTTTCACAAAGTGACCGTCTCCCTCCTCCCAGCCCTATTAGGAGAGACCCCCGCGTCGCTCCCGCAGCAGGATCCCGCCCGGCCCCATCAATGACGCTGACAGCGCTTCCCCTGCGCGGGGGACGTGACACAGCACCCGTCGCCTTCGTCCCCGCCTTTCCTCTGCTGACTCGTCGAGCATGAGGACCGGGCCTGGGGCTGCAGATGCGGCGTGAGGCTGGGGCGAGCCTCGATGCCCACCCTGCAGTGAGCAAAACATCACGTGCAGGGTTAGCATAAATATTCCGGCGCTAGATTGGCACGCAAAAAGTTGGAGGAATAAAGCAAGTCTTGCAAACCCCTCTCCGTGGGGATGGGATGCTTGGGACCCTGAAACACTGATGCACGTCCCAAGCAGTCCAGGTAACCGGTTTGCACGCACAGAGCCAGGACCGCTGGTCCCCGGGCGAGCTGAGAGGCTCGGGGGAGATGCTGGTCTTTGGATCAACCCCAAGCCCTCCCATTCCCCTACGCCAACCAGCAACGCTCTCCTTTTAAATACTTCCACGGCCCTTCAACCCCAAACTGTTTTCTTCTCCTGCAGGCATCCCGCCTCGTCAAAATGACAAATGGAGATGCCGAAACCAGTCGCAAACTGGCTGGCTGACCCAGTTTTCTGCGGCTAAAATAGCTCACCCGGATCGGGAGCCAAGCCCCACGACAGCAACGGGGACGCTTCCGACCAGCAGTACCTGTCTCGGGGGCACAGCAAACACCCCGGCACCCTTTTCTTCGAGAAGAAACTATTAATTACGTTTGAAGGGGACTCCTCATGGGGTTTCTCCTTTGCTTCTGGTCCTTGCCCCGGCCACAGAGTGAACGGGCTCCGAACGCCTTTGACGCCGGGCGGCTGGAGCACGGGCAGAGGAGATTTATTTGTAATCATCGGAAATAAACACACTTCCTCAGAAGTAAACACAAAAGAACAGAACCTGGCTGGGCTCCCGCTTCGTTAGAGATGCAAATTAGAAGCAGGCCATCAAAACGCGGCGGCTCCTCTAATCCTCTCCCAACAACGTAAAGCGTCAAATTAGCGGCGGGTACAACGGCATCTGCGGCGTGCGACGGCGGGCCCCGCGCAGCAGCTCCCCGAGGGCAGCACGGCCACGCCTGGCCTTCGTCACTCTCACCCCTGAGATTTATTCTCTGCGAGTGGGGCGGGAGGCACTTTGTCTTCATTCCCGCTGCCTTCCGCTGGCACCCTGTCTCTGAGCCACCCGTCACATCCCTTCTCCCATCCGTCCTGGCGCCTGGACGTGGGGTGCACAGCCCCACGGCCTCCCCACAGCATCCCAGCACCCCGAGGATGGAGAGGAGCCGGGATGTGCCGTTCGGCATCGGCCAGCACGAACACCTCCCCCC